ATGTTAAAATGTGTCAATCCAACATAAACATATAGAAGTACACATAAATTACCCAACCTGAGAAGAAGTACAAAAAAAATTAAACTTCTAAAAATAAAGAACATAAAGATGACAATATGAACACTTAAAAATGGCCAAGTTTATGGCTAATATGGTGAAATTCATATCTTCATGTAATCCCATATTATTAACAATAAAGTTTTTCAGATAGGAATGTTAAAGGAAAAATATTATAATACAAATAATTATTGACTAAATACTGACCAGAAACCCATGGCTGTAACACATACAATAATAAAACTATAATATGTAGTACAATACAGGTGCTCCTCTACTTACCAACGAGTTACGTTCCTGAGGCTTGTTTGTAAGTCCAACTTTATTCTTGTAGATATCAAACATATTTGTAAAAATTAAAAAATTATGGATATTTAGTACAGCTATACCCTTTAAACCTGGCTCACTCTTCTCCTCTTAGGTGATGTTTGTTCTATCTGGAATTTTCTTCAAAATAATCCAGTCTCATCCACCCTCAGTGATGATGTTTGTATCTCTGAAAGTTTTTAAGTTGAACATTCTTAAGTAGAGGAGCACCTGAATAGCAATAAATAAAAAATATAAATACTTTATAAAGTGCTGGATATTTGTTTAGTGCAGTCTGTTCTCTTATTTATATTTCAGTGATGGGAATAACGGCACAATAACGGACAGGACAAGTGACCAACACTGTATAGGTTAAGAGAATATTATACATACATTCTTTTCCTTTGAAGCAGTACTGTATAACTGTGTATATAATGTAAATTGAGGAAAACTACTAAAATATAAAATATATTGTATAAATAAAAACAAAACTAACTCACAGTAATCATGAAGAAATTAGGCACGTGATAACAAACCCCACTCGCCAAGCAGCGGAATTTTACGGAATCACTCTCACTTTAGTGAACTAGCTCACTAAATCAAGCAAAAATAACGGAAAGTTCGATTTAGCGAAAATTTCAAATTAACGGAAAGGGGTCGCTCAAACTAGTCTGTTAAATCGAGAAAATACTGTACTCCATTACATGATTCAGAGTGGATAACATAAATGAACACCAACGCTATGTCAGTAATCGGCGGGATCTTACATTGAATGGAGCGAGTAATTATCAAGGAGATATCGCAAGATGTGAGAGATGCTATCATTGCCCTTCACAACAAAGGTATACGTAACGCTAAGATAGCACAGTGAACTGGGGTGAGTGAACCCACAGTATCACGATGGGTGAGGCGCCATGATACAACTGGTGCCACACTGAAACTTACAACCACAAATGTCTTACTATAGGTGGATGGGAGGTTCTGTTGCCTGCAAGTCACTTAATTTGAAATCTTAATTCGGTGTTAAACCAATGCAATTTACATATCAGTAACATGGCAGATCCCATGTAGACTGATGTATTGTATAATGGTGTAGCTGTTCACTCTAATATCAAGTACAGTGAACCCTCACTTTACGCGGTACCCTGCCAGAACCGGAATTCCCACTTTACGCGGTGCATCTACTCATATACGCAGGTGAAGTATAATTTTTTTATTTAGCTCATAAAATTCATACAAATTACCCGGCCAGAATATAATTTCCATTGCTGGAATTCTTACAATTTGATGATTATTTTGAATATAAGCATCATAGATTTTGCATTAGACAAACAAATTTTAGATCTAATGCAAGTATTTTGTTTACTCAGAGCAAATATGTTAACTTTTGTGCAAAATATATGACGTGTATATTCAAAATATTCCTGGTCTTGCAAGGAATCCAGCAATGTCAATTATATTATCCTAACTTTAGTCTGAGGTATTATTTATCACTAAAAATGTAAATATACTGTTATAACCCAAACATTTCTCTGGTAGGGAGGGAAGGTGGGGGTGAGGGGTAGGGAGGGAGGGAGGGACCCAGGGAGCAGGTGGGAAGAGGGGGGGAAGTGGAGTATTTTGATTGACAGATAGTGTCGAGAAGAATATTTTTTTTTTTTAACTGAAGATATTTGTTTTTGCTCATAAAATTCATACAAATTACCCGGCCAGAATATAATTTACATTGCTGGAATTCTTACAATTTGATGATCATTTTGAATATAAACATCATAGATTTTGCATTAGACATACAAATTTTAGATCTAATAAGTATTTTGTTTACTCTGAGTAAATATGTTATCTTTTGTGCAAAATATATGACATTTATATTCAAAATATTCCTGGTCTTACAAGGAATCCAGCAATGTCAATTATATTATCCTAACTTTAGTTTGAGGTATTATTTATTACTATACCTTAAAATCTAGTGTTTCCCCCATAAAATTAAGATGTTATTTTTACTAAAACATAGGTATTGTGTCAGAAAAAGTGGAGTTTGGGGGTCGGCCCAGTCTCTATTTCAATTAATCCCATATGTTATGTTGTTCGCTTTACGCGTTTCTCGCTCTACGAGGGCCTCTGTGGGTTCAATTGACCGCGTAAAGTGAGGGTTCACTGTACTAGTTTCTTAGTCATTCTTCATAAATCAGACATAACATGAACAACATGAGTTGGCTTATTGAGAAACCCAGTATGAATGATACTCTGTTTGTACAACGATGTACTGGTGAAATGTTCGTTTTGAGTTCGCTCTCAGTCTCAGTTATGATGTTCTGGAACATTTCCATTTAATATATATTTCAGTGTTATTGTATCCATCAGTCATGCCTTACTTCTATCCAGCACGATACATACATTAATATAGCTTAATGGATTTCATGTTATGTAGAAGTATCTAGTAATGTATGCCATACAAGAATGACTCTCTCCCCTAATCCTACCCACATCTCTAGCTATTGCTGATATGGCGAGCAAGCATACTAACTTATGATGATGCACAGGGGATCATATCAAAGCATTGTCTAGCATAGTGACAGAAAATCTAGATACTTTTGGGGGGACTGTACATGGTTCATAAATGGGGCTATGTGGACCATAACTTCATAAGCACCAAAAAAAGAAAAACACCAGAAATTGTGGCTATTAAAGTTTTGGAAATTGGAACTCATTACAGTATGTCTTGAATTAATTGTGATAGCACAATCATACTTGTAACAAATTAAAGCTTACATACTCAGGATTATGTTGCCATAATCAGATAATAGCAATTTTATCCTGATTGCTGTATAAGTAATTATGAAAATGACCATAACCTTAGCAATTTAAAGGCATCAGATTTTGGTGATACTTGAATATTTTGATATAGGATACTCATAAACATCATAACCAATTATAATTAATCAGTACTGAAAATGTCAAAGAGATTATAGTGATCATAATAACAATTACCTAAACCCCATTTTCTGGTAAAACATCAATGTACATATTGGAAATAAAGATATGGTAATACAAACAAAAGATTATTGCATGCAAAATAATGTAGTGCACACACCGGATTAAGTGGCCAAGCAGTTCCCTACACGTCATTCACCGCATGATACCACTGGAACGTCTCGACAGATGGAGAGAAGAGACACACCCCATGCCAGCACCATGAACTTACAAGTGACAATTCCTTTACAGAAATTGGATTTTCAACCCTACAAACTACCATTTCAGAAACGAGAGGCAATAGGTGCGGGAAGACAATAGGATAAAAAAAATGACTGAGGTGGCATGAATGAAGTTATGGTCTGCATAGCCTAAAATATCATAATTAATATCAAATTATAAGTTTGCAACATGTGGAGCAATGAGTGATATACAGTCAAGTATATGAAATATCCAGAAACTAGGTCTTAAGTTTGTTTTACATACAGTATTTCTGGGTATTTTCAAGTCTCATAATGGGTGACTTGTTCCTACACACAGTTACCTACTCCCACATTATGTAGCATACTGAAACATTCTAAAAAGTGGGTGAGTTTTCATCATGAACAGAATTTTACTACAGTATTCTAGTACAGGGTGTATATGTCAAGAACAATTATGGAATAGTTTAAACAGGTATCAGTGAAGACAAACATTAAAATGCCTCATTATGTGAAATTCATAATTCAATAATTCAACTCTTAATCAATTTAAAAATAGATTACAATTTACAGAATGCAGCTTGGTTAGTTTATTTTCCAATGGAAAAATGTAAATACACAACTTTTTTGTAGGTACAAGTATGTGCATATATGGGACACGATTATGCCTACTGTGCTACAGATTGTCCATGTGAGGGAAAAAACATTCTCAAGTACTATATACTGTATGTGAATAAAGGTTAAATTTACAGTACAGTGAGCCCTTCAAATTCGCGGGGTTTAGGTTCTCAAAATGGCCGCGAATCGCCAAATCCAAGAATAATATTTGCTGACCAAGGGGGGAGCAGGGGTCACATTTTTACTTGTGTACAAAGAAATGTGTTTGCCCTTAGGATAATTATTTCTTTTACCTGTATATATATATATATATATATATATATATATATATATATATATATATATATATATATATAATGTGTGTGTGTGTATAGACAAACACACAAAACACATACAAATAAATAATAATGGGAAGTTCCTCTCACAAATAATCAGAAACAAATGTAGTATTAAAAATGTTGAGGGTAGACTTGAGGGTAGACTCAACATTTTAATACTACATTTGTTTCTGATTATTTGTGAGAGGAACTTCCCATTACTATTTATCTGTATGTGTTATGTGTGTGTGTGTGTCTACGCACACACATGTACAATGCAGGTAAAGGAAATTATGGTCTCTAGAGCGAATGGCTCCTTGTCCCGGCTGTGAAAATGCCGGCAACTTTAAAACCAGCTGAAGACATTATTGGTTACATCCAGGGCGTCATCCGCGAATAATAGAGGGCAGCGAAATAGAAATCCGTGAATTAGCTAAGCATATTGTACTGTATTATATTTTTTACCTATTTTGTCCAATAATTTGGGCCTGGTAATAGAGCCTTGATGGTAAAATCCTATAGATGTAGAATGTATGCAAAAGATTTAATTTGGAAACAGGGACCCAATCTGTGTATAAATAGTACAGTACGTATAAACATACAAAAGACTTACAAAGATCAATAAATCATTATAACCCTTTCACTGTGGCTATAACATATAAGATTATGTGGTTAAAAATTGATGCGTGTGCCTGACAAGCAAAAAGGCAACTGTATTATACATAAGTATTTTTCTAACCAAGTTGAAATATGTATACTGTAGTTGAACTCAGCATATAAAATAATTTTTTTTCATTATACTTGTATAATAGAATTTTTTTTAAATGTCCGCACACAGGATATCCTGATTAATTAATGACGTTGCAGTGAAAGGGTTAATATACCCCTGTACACAGACAGGGATCTGGTCGTAACCTACATATGACAACCACATTCCTTATTTTACACCCTGTTCAGTCATGGAGGGCATATTGATACACAGTACATACTGTAACATCAGCTTAAGAGATTATTCTTACATACAATCATAGACAAAATTCTAGATATTGAAACACACAGAGCTTCAGGCTCAGATCATTAAATTCACAGTTTTGTTGAGATCATTTCCTATTACAAAGACCTGTGGTCATCACATCCAATCATTTCCAATTTTCAGGGGTAGACTATCACTACAGTATTGACAATCAAAAACACACATGAAAGACATGGTTATTGTGCAAAAACTTGTACTGTGAAGTTAACCGGGCAGTAATCTCATAAGGCACATTTTATGTGCATATTTATATCTAAACATTTAAAGTATGAGCAGCATCTAAAAAGGATTTTGTTAGGGAAAAGAATACTTGTACTGTGTTGCTTACAATTCTTGAACTTAATTCTTACTCATTGATTAAATATGAAATTCAAGCATTGTCCTTCACTTTACAGTACAGAGAGCAAACCAACAGTGTCAATATTTACATCACTTATTTAGCTATATTCTTATACCATATAGCATAAATCAATGAAAGACATTATTAGTTGATGTCATTCAAGCACATTACATTTGTATTGAATGACATTATCACCTGATGAAGCAATATCAAGTTAGAATCATAATGAAAGACCATATTTGCAAATGAATTTCCGTCAAGTCAAAATCAAGGAATATTTCAATGATTCTTTCACTTCATCTGTACATATGGCTTAAAAAGTGTAATGTAAAATACACACTCCATCAATCAATTGTAATTCTAAAGTACTACTTTTGTGTTAGATATTATAAAAACTAATTTTAATTCAGAACAATCTCAGCTAAAGTAGAATTCATTTCATCTCCTTAATTGTAAGATTTTGTTTATAATGGATTTTTTATGTCTGCAGAAGGAAACATTATACGTATACATTCTTCAAAATAGTATATACAGTATTAGCCTTCGAATTTCCATTAATCAGGATTTTCCAAATTTTGGGTGAATCGCCAAAGTGGCTTGTTTCTTTTGGCTTTCCTTAAGCATGAAAAAAGCCCCCCCAAATTTCTTCTCATTATTGGGCAGCACAAAGATTTACCTGAGTGCGAATTTTCAGAATCATGAGGATCTGGATGTTCATCAATTTCTACTTGTTCTTGTGAGGCAATTGGTGCTCCCACTGGAAGTTTGGCTGAATGGTCCATATAACCCAACTTGTTTCTACACTCTTTATCTAGTCAGTATTTGGGTGTGAGGAACACTTTGCGCATAAGAGTAGAAACAATGCTGGCAGCCTGCTTTTTTCCATGCATGTGGGGCTGAGCTGCAAAAATAATAGCAAAGAAAAAATTACCATAAGGAACTTCACAATTAAGTGACCTCCCCAAAATCTGATTCATCGTCATCATCAACACCATTGCCTTATGGCCATTTTTCACACTTGCATGGGTTAGCCACGGTTACTTGATTTCAGCTCTCCATGCTGCACAGTCTTATAGTTTCTCTTGTCAGGCTCCTAACTCTAATATAATTTCTTACAACCTCTCCCCATGTCAATCTTGGCTTACTCCTTGCTCTCCTCCCCTCCACATTTAGGCTCATGCACCTCTTGATCCAATTAGTCTCATCCATTCTCTCCAAATGCCCAAGCCAACTCAGCTTGCCTCTACACAGAACTTCACCAATACTCTCAAAATCCAGCCTCCCTCTTAGCTCTGAACAGGGTCTCCTGTCTTTCAGTGTCACTTTACACATCCACCTCACCATTCTCATTTCCTTCCCATATTAAGAGTGGAATGATTCATAAAGCTTTCCTTGATGCACCTTGTACTTACTTACCAAAGACCTGTACAGTACAGTACTCAAATTATTTCATTGTTCATACTTGCAAAGAGAAATCTTTCATAATTTTTTTGCCCAGTAAATAAGAAAAAAAAATGCCTTGGTGTACAGTATATGAGATGGTGAAAAATACAAGTTAATATGCAAAAATAAGGGTGACCAAGAACTGAATTATAGGCTGCATTTATGAAAAATTCATGGCATTCACAGACCTGGGATGTGTGGCACCTGTAGTATGCATGAACATGAAGGGAGTGCTGGAGAAACATGGAGATTTGATCCTAAAAGGATGTTTCACCAAGATGTCAGGCATTTTTCTTATGCCTTTTAAATTCTTCTCACCTCAGGGATTGGATACAGTTACAGGTTGAACCTCTCCAATCCGGCACCCTCGGGACCTGACCAGAGCTGGACCATAGAATTTTCTGAACCACAGGTGGTCAATATTGCATACAGTATTACAGTACCAAAAATGGTACAAGTTCATGTATACACAGCCTCAGGAATGCTGGTCAATGCTCGCCATAGCAACACAACCCAGCTTGAATGTTGCCTCCACCTACCCCATAGCAATGGGGTTTCCTCACATCAGTCCCCCTTCCCCATGAGGTTACACTGATGAGTTTAGCATGGCAACAATGCCACCATCGATGTTAACAGATACAAACAAAAATAAAATTGTCCTGTAAATCTTCATTTGTATCAGATATTTGTAGATTTAAAGTGGCATATACAGTGAATGAGGTTCTGCACTTCATGAAGCAGCATAAAGAAAGAATATATAAAAACCCTAGGCAGTGAGTAAATAGCATTTGAAAAGGATGAAAATGTTTGATATGTCATTTGGACAAGTAATTATACAGATATGAAATTGTGGACAACAGATCCTTAATCAGCATGTTCAAGAGTACATTATACAGTACAGTGGTCCCTCGGTTAACGAGCACAATCCGTTCCAGCAGGCTATTCGTTAACCGAAACCATTGTTTCAATGGGTTTTTGGGTAATTGGTTCCAGCTCAACGAAAATTGCCTGAATTCAACAAAAGAGGTAGAAATGTACACTTTCTTTGAGGTGTGTATGTAGAAGGCTCATGGATGATGATGTAAATTTGAAGTGGGAGGTGCAGGAGGAGAAGGGAGAAGAGAAGGAAGTGGAGGTGGAGGAGAAGCATTTTACTGCTTCTTGGAAGGTGAGTCACCTTCCATGAAAATGTCAGGAGCCTCTGGACTGACAGATTCTCCACCAGGAACATCCTCTCTCCTTCTTGAAGTGGAAGGCTGAGGGCTAGCATCTTGTTCCCTCTGCCTTTTACTGAAGAAAGTGTCAATAGTGATCTATGGGGCATCTCTCCTCCTCATCATTAACATTTGTTTAAAGAAGGAGACCATTGTGTCCTCAACATGACACAAAGTTACAGACTTTTCCACATCTGGGTGCTTTGAAGCCAGTTCCCTGAACTTCTCCTAGTGGTAAATCACATCTTTCAACTCTGAAATTGACATATGGTCATCACTTTCCCTTTCCTCCTCACCACTGTCAGCCTCTACCTGTAACATCTCATCCAGTTGCTTCAAGTCATCAGGAGTAAGTTCCTCCTCATAAGACCTCACAAGCTCTTCCACATCCTCCTCCTCCACTTCAAGGTCCAATGACTGACCAATGGACACTATCTCCTGTTCCAACTCTGTTTCTTCCTCAAATCCCTCAAAATCATGGACGACTGATGGCCACAGTGCTTTACATGAAGAATTGAGGGATCTAGTGGAGACTTCTTGCCATGATGACACAATCAATTTTACAGCCTCCAGGATGTAGAATTGTGTCTTCCAGAACTGTTTCAGTGTTAGTTAAGGATCAGTGGAAGTTGCCTGATGACACCTCCTAAACATTTTCTTCATGTACAACTTCTTGAAGTTGCTGATCACATTCTGGTCCATTGGCTGTATGAATGATGTAGTGTTGGGAGGCAAAAACAACACTTTCACAAAGTCAAATTGATACTCCAAAGTTCTGGCAAGTTCAGGGTCATGCCCAGGGGCATTATCCATGTGGAGAAGAGCCTTTAAAAGGAGTTTATTGGTGGTTAGGTAGCTCTTGACAGAAGGGCAAAACACCTCAACAGCCCATTCATTAAAGAGCTGTCTTGTCACCCATGCCTTACGGTTGGACTTCCAATAAACTCCAAGCTTTCCTCTTACCACCTTTTCTTGCTTGAACACCCTGGGGTTCTCAGAGTGGTAGACAAGCATAGGCTTCAGTCAGAAATCCCCTGAAGCATTGGCACCAAGCAATAGAGTGAGACGGCCTTTCGTGGGTTTATGCCCAGGTAAAGAGGCTTCATCTCTGTTGATGAATGTTCTTTTGGGCATCCTTTTCCAAAACAGCCCAGTTTCCTCCACATTGAACACTTGCTGTGGAAGAAAATTTTCTTCATCCACCATTTCTTTAAATTCCACTAAAAACTTTGCTGCCCCTTCCTTATCAGCACTAGCAACCTCACCATGCAAACTACACTAAAAATGTCACTTCTTTTCTTAAATTTTTCGAACCAGCCTTTGCTGGCCCTAAAATCTTCAAATTCTGTGCCTGAAGAACCAGGTTGCTCTGTCTTTAAATGTTCGTAAATCTCCCTGGCTCTTTCACAAATAAATTCAGTAGAAACTGAATCACCTTCCATCTGTTTTTCCCTAATCCAGATGAGAAGTAACCTCTCTGTTTCTGCAATTATGGATCTACTTTTAAACACTCTGGTAGATTTGTCTCTCACTTTCACTTCATTAAATTTGTCTTTCTGTGCAAGAATTGTCGACACAGTTGATATTGATGTATGTATATTATGTATGCTGTATGTATATTATGTATGTATATTATGTATGTGCTCCATTTATATACACTATTTATTCAGCCTAGCTAGCAGCGTGTGGCAATGTATTTACCATGTCCCACACGCTTAATTAATGTGCCTGGCGACATATGGGAGCTGTTAATGTATCACTTGCCATATGTCGCCTAAAGGCTAGTTGACCCCCAGACAGAGTAAGGAGCGCCACCTCCCTTGTGTACATATCTGTTTATCCAGTAAATAGAACCTACGAAAACTCTACAGGTGTTTGTGTTCGCTCCTGTAGATAGAACTTGATACCCAGAACACATGCATGGCGCAGTGAGTCATTTACCTGGATCATTATACAAGTGAAGTGTAAAGTTTGTGGCAAGACCGGCTTATGGACCCCTGCTCTGTGTCAACCACCGCTAATGGCCGTCTCTTCAAATAATTTATCGCAACTTTGAGCAGTGTCAGTGACAGTGATTTTCTGTGAATTGTATAGTGCATTGTGTGTTTAGTGCCATAACTGTGTGACCTTGTTCTAAAGGATTCCCAAGGTAAAAGGCATGTTCTGGGCATTTGTAAGGAGTAAAGTTCAGTGCATCCTCTTCTCGCCATGTCCAGAGGGTAACTGACTGTGAGTCGCCTCCTCTCCCTCACAGTGAGACACTGCCCGAGACACGCACACACACACACACGTACGAACACACTGACTGCGGCCATTCCTTTATATATATTTTATATGTATATAATCTACTTATCTGTGCATTTAAATAATTTTTTTTTTGTCTCAGATCTTGTTGATACGACGGGCTGACCGGTCAACACTGATTTAAGACACAGTACACAGATGAAGTAATTATGTCTCGTGCCTTACGCAGTCGTGGAGCCAACGCCTGGATGAGTCGGTTGGATGACAGCTCGGCAGAGATGGATGACCAGGCTGAACAGGACGCTCCAGCTCCCACCACATCGCGCAGCCCTTCACCTCGATCTTCAGCGTTGCCTTCAGAGATAATTGCTTTAATGAAGTTTATGAGGGATGAAAGGCGTCACAACTTTGCTACAAGACGTGTGGAGGACGAAGAAAGAAGGCAAGCAGAGGCAGAGAGAGACCACCAACGGAGATTGGAAGACAGTGCACGGTTTGGAGCTTTACTATCTCGCCTCACTGTTAACCAAGCCCCTGGCTCTAACACTGCCTCGGTATCGACTGGTTCAGATACCTCATCAACGCTTTCTTCACGCCCCCCAGCCCCACCTAAAGTGGCTGCTCAAACACCGTCCATCTTGAAGCCTGATGTGAATTTCCAGACTTTTCGTGAGTGGCGGCGACGGTGGACTGATTATGCTACAATGGTGGATCTCCAGAGTTTGTCACAGCCTAAACAACTTATTCAGCTGCGTATGTGCCTGTCCTTGGAAACTCAGCGTGTCTTGGAACATACATTGCAGGTACCTCCGACCTCTTCGTTGTCTGTAGAGGAGGTACTGGATATTCTACAACGGCACATCAAAGGGCAGCGGAATGAAGCTCTACGCAGGAGGGAATTGTTTAGCTGCAGACAGATGGAGGGCGAGACTTTTGATGCCTTTTATGCACGACTCAAGAGAGCCTCAGAAGAGGTAGATATATGCCCAGGTAACCACCA